CTCCTCTGTACATCACCCGACAGGGAAACACATTTTCAATAGATCTTATGGCAAGTCCCCTCCTCCCTCAATTAGAGCAGAAAGGATACAAATAAGAACAAAAGCCTTGGTTTAGTTTAAAAATCCTAACCAAATGCACTGAATTTCTAGCAACAAAAACAAAAGTAAAACCGAAGAAAGGGAGTCTGAGCTGATGCTGCCAGAGGCATGAATAATTGATCTGAGAACAGTAGACAACTGAATACAGTTTCTGGCACGGCCTGGCTGTCACCAGCTCCCTGGATCACACCTGGGCTGCCTCCCCTCTCACCCCGTGGCCCAGGCATCTTGAGCCTTGACCTGATTCTTCCTGGGGGTTTGTGTGGTGCACTTTCAGCAAAAGGAAAATATGCCCACAGTGAAGGCATAAAGCATTTTGGTTGTGGGATGCTGCTTCCTTTCCCACCAACGCCAGACGTTTCCTGCTCACCTGCCAACCTGGTGGACCTGCCGGGTGGTTTCTGCTCCTCCTCCCTAGACCTGAGCGCCACGGCAGGGCCATCGCCCGCTTCAGCCCCGGCAGAACCAGGGGTGCTTTTAACGCTAGGATCCCAGCTAAGCCCTGACAGCAGGCACCGGGGACAGGAAGGAACTGTGGCAGGCGCAAGGAGGAAATGAGCATTCCCGACTGTAAGCAGTTTCTTCTCCTTCCAGGGGAGGTTTACCCTGTGCAGGGGCTCCTGGGGGAGACAGTTCATCTCCAGGCAAATTCCCCATATTCCAAGATTTCTGGGGGTTAGAACCAACCCTTCCCTGCATCAAAAACTTGTATAGTCATTAAAAAGTGGGGGTGGGGGTGAGGGTGGGGAAATAAAAAAGTGGCTGGTGGTCCATTCCACAGAAGGAAACTTCAGTCCAGGCTGTGCTGCCACGCCCTTCATTCCCGGAGCCACAGGCTGCACAGGGTCCCACGCCCCCAGCAGCCAGCTGGTCCCTGAAGGCCTGATTCAGTCTCCGTTCCTACAACCCCCCCATCCTGACCACACCTATTTCTAGAAACTGCTTCCTCTCTTGGACACAAAATATGCTCTGCCTGGGTCCCTCCAAAGCAGAGATGGCTTGTCTTCATTTTCCAGTCTCTGCGTGGGTCTCTGGCCTATGATCTGGCCCCCACCCCAGGGGATTTTGGCAGGGAGCACGGCTGTCAGGGCAGCGGCTGCAATTCCTGGTGACTGCGCATGGAGGAGGGGCCGTGAGGCTACACGCAGGTCAGTGGGATGGGAGCTGAAGTCCCTGCACAACTTCTGGATGACGTCATCTAAAGAGGAGGGGGATGGTCCACGCCCCCCGCCCCCTCCGCAGCCGGCAAAGTGCACCTGGTGGCGCCAGGCCAGCTCCCACCGTGCGCATGAAGCTGGGCAGAGGGAGAGCCCGGCCGTGTAAAGCCTGCGTGCAGCGCCCGCTGTGACCCACACTTGTGAGCACGCGTTCTGTGGTGAAGCTAAAGGACGGGCTGAAATCACAGGTCTCGCCCCTCCCTGGCTCCCGCTTTGGGAGGTTCAGGTCTTTCCCCAGCCCCCTGGCGGGTCATCTGAGCCTCGGGGAGCGGAATCCTTGGGGTGGTCACCGCGCACAGTGCCCCTCCGCGCCCACAGGCTGGAGCAATTCCCAGCAGATGTCACCGGCTCCGAGGAGCTCCCGCCCCGCGCTCAGCCCGCATCAGGCGTGGCGATGAGAAGAGGGGGCGCACGGCCCGGGATAGGGGGGCGTCTGGCGGGAGATGGGCGGGGGACCCACCTGACGAGGGATGTGCGGGACGGGCCATTGTCAGGGGGCCGCGCGGGGACTCTTAGGAAGGATGGTGCA